GAATTGTAGTGACTTATTTCAAGCCAGTGACCATACAGTGAGTGATGGGGCCAGCCGATTTACACATCAGTGCTTCTATCCTCCTAGACGAGTCTCTCACCGATTTGTCGACCCTAGGATGTAGTGAAAGTTTGGATGGCCTAACAGAAGCCGAGCCGGGATTAGACCTTGGGACGGCGCGCATGATAAGCATGCCTCTTCCCTTTACACCACTTCCTCCTCATCCACCCTACACACTTTTGACATCTACCCCCACGTGCAGAGCTCAGAGGCCCCGACGGAAGTTGCTCCCTTCCGGAGACATCACTCCGATCTGCAAATTACAGGGAGATCATATTACCTATTAGCCAGCCTCCTGCTTATCCTTGGCTGCTCCCATCAGTGGTCCCTAAAACCGGATATGTGCACTCACAACCATTTCCTAATGACATTATGTTTCGTAAGATGTGGTTGTATGTGATAGTAGTGGACGACTGAACTGGCACAAATCAGCGCCATATTTGATGCTTCAAAGCTCAGGCATTAATTGGGACTGATGTAAGCATACAGGGGGCGGGTGTTAGGCACAGTAGCCAATGGCGCCGCCTCAATTACAGACAGTCGTCGGGTGAACTACTCCTATCACACTGACTAAGCCTTTCCTGTCTCCAAATTCACAAGAAAAGAAGATTTTGTCTAGGTTCTTATGCTTCCGGCTAGCCTTAATATCATAAAGTTAAGATGAGTTAGTCTCTGGAAGTAATGATTTAGTTTGGCCAATGCTCATGGGAATTACTGCAGAGTCTGGAAAGAAAGAGTATAAGTTAGCCGTACTTTGGGGCTTTTCGTTATTTCATAAGAGGGCGGATTAGGGCATAGGATCAAGAGTCTGCGGCAGCAAAGAGCCAGGGTAGATAATCCTATTTGGGAGCTACCTGAGCTGAATAGTCAGTCTTCATTCAGTAGCCTCCTTCTTTCGTATTTTGCTGCATTTCTGAGCTCAAAGTGCATACCGAAACGTTCTTTGAGCTCACTCGGTCATATCCGCTCTTCTGCTCTTTTCTCATTCTCAACTGCATTACGCCTACCGCGATATGACTTGTTTTCCTCACAATGCAGCACGTTTTGGTTTCGCTCCTGATCGCTTTTTTCAATTACTCGCTTCAAGAACCTTCAATACAAATGTTTCCAGTATGTTCCGGGTCTTATTATGGACGTTATGGACGTCAGCAGCTCCATCGTGTGTTCAGCCTCCATCACCATCACATCCAAATATTGTTATACTTATGGTTGACGATATGGGTGCGTTTTTTAACGATAATAATCTAAGGAACACATGGTGTAATGGGTGGGCGCACTCGCCCGCTAAGCGTGAGGTGCGGGTTCGAGTTTTCTGAGCAGCACTCTTGTCGTGCACTTGACATAGTTTGATTTTGTGTGGGCTGGAGGCGGCGGTGGGGGAGCATTTTGTGGAGGACGATTCCTAACAACTCTCTGGTTCATTTTATGAGGACCTTCAAACCCTTATAGAGCTACAAAAAGGCACGGGGCTCATTTTATGGCCTTGTTTCGATGCCTTCTTTGTTTATTTTCTTATGTTAAACGGAATTTGGTGCAGAATAGATCTAAGAAACAATTGCAAAACAGGACTCGAGGATTACCCAT